GTGTAATGAGAAACTCAAAGTCACGTAATTCTGTCTAAAAATTATGAAGTTAGTTGATTAAAATTAAATTTAGTAAAAGAAAATTTATTTTAAAACTAAAATTATTTTTATAAAATTATAATGTTATGATACAAGATAACACAGTTATACATATACCCTTTGAGAAACAATACCGAAGGTGAAGGAAGATCACAAAACTATATTACAAATCATTAAAAATATTTTATTCGTAAACAAAGTATTTGAACTTGAATTTTAATTATAATTAACATTGAAAGAAAAATTTAAGATAGCGTAAGTTATACATAAATCTCTTACAATTTATTAAACTATCAAAGACAATGTAAATTATACATTGACATTATAGAAATTTGTATAAATAAGTAAAGAAATGTTTAGTTATTTAATTGATCAAAATAAAAAATATGACTTTAGAAACTTTAAAACATAAGATTAATTTCATTTTAATAAAAGAAATAAATATATTTGAATTAATTAAAAATATTTATTTATTTAATAAAAAAATTAAAAACTTCATTTGATAGCTTTATGTTGTATAGAATTCAATGTAACGTTGACACATATAAGTTTTAATAATTTATAACACGTAAAGGTAGAGTCGTTATACATTAGCATTATAAATTATTGTATTAATAAAATAATTTCTATTTAAATTGATTGATTAGTAAAATAGTAATTATAGAAAATACATTTTGATTGATTATTAAGATAAATTTCTAATTAATCAAATATAACATATGATAAATTAATATTGCTTAAAATCTCGATCATGTAGATACACGTACACACAACGGTAGAGAAATTATACATTAATATTATAAATTGATGCAATTATATGATTATTCATAAAGATAATTTAGAAATAATTCATTAGCCATTAACAATTTGAAATTATGCAATATAAAAAAAGATTAAGACATAAATAACTAGATAGGATGAAAATAATGAAATAACATAAAAATAAGGTGAAAATAAATATGATTGAAAAAGTAAAAATTCATTATTTCTAAGTCAATTTTAATCTTTTTACTATTATCATTAATTATCATTACTTTAAAAAAAATTAATAAATGGAAGTAAGAGAACTAATTTAAAAATAAAATAAAACTAAAGAATAAAATATATTATTTAAGATATAGAAAAAACCTAAGATATAATAATAATAGTAAATGATAAAAATATAAAAACTTGCATTTTTAGTAAAAAGAGAATAATAATAATAATATAAAACTAAATAAATAAAAAAATAAAATAGAAATAAGAAATTGAGTTCAATCGAGAAGTACACCATTTGGACCGAAAGAAGCAAAATATTTGGACCGAAACATAAAGAAAATAAGATTTTATATATAAAAAAGGAAATAAAATGGTGGAATTCATTTACTTTCAACGTGTAGATGAGAGAGCGTGTAGCAGTGAAACTTCGTTCAATCTTCTCCAATCTCAAATCAACTTATGTCAAATAATATGACATTGTAAGAAAATAATAAAAAATAATAATAACAACCATAAACTGGAAATGTTGAAGACTTTCTATTCCTCTTCTTTATTAAATATTTTTTATCTACTCCTCTTCCATTCCTTGAATGCAACTCCGACAATAAAAATTTCATTCATTATCTTTTAGAGATATTTAGAGGTGGACAAAGGCAACGCAAAGGAGGTACCTAAAAGGGTAATAAGCTTTTTCTTTCCCTTTTTGTTTTTGATGTTTTCTCCTTTTTTTAGTTCTTCTTTTTCTTTGCTCTGATTTTTTTTAGATCTCTCCTTTTAGATCTCCTCTTCTAAAAATTTATTGTCACTTTTTCAAAAACTTTTTCTATCTTTCTTTTCTTTGGTTACACTCTTTTTCAGTCACCACAACTATCTCTTTCTAATTTTTTTGAAGATTTGTTGACTCTTCTAAAAATTATCTCTCCCGTTTCCAATAATGGTTGTCGTCTCCTCTTTTTGTAAAATGATTTTATTATTTATTTTAAAAAAAATTAAAAGTAATCCGAGGAGGAAAAAATTGATATTCACAGTTGCCCCTCTTTACTCAGTTCATATCAATTAGAGATATTTTGGAGTTAGAGTTTATGAGAACTTAATAAAGAAGTGAATCAGTTTTTGTCTGACAAGGTGTACAAGGAATACAAAGACAAATATAGTAAACACTCAGTTGTTAGAGAAAGTCATAATTTATGACGATTTGTGGTAAACGAAATCGTAAAGTGACATTGACTTTTAACTAAAAACAAAGGCTGCCAGGAAAATACTGGGATTTGACATAAAGGTAAAGGTGTCAGTCACGTTCTAAACTATAGAAGAGAAGTAAAAGGTGCTAGTCAGGTGCTAGGCTTTGACAAAAAAATAAAATATGTTAGTTTGGTTCTAGGTTTTGACAGAAAAGTAAAAGTACCAGACAGGTTCTGGGCTTTGACAGAAAAGTGAAAAGTGTCAGGTACGTGCTGGGCTTTGAGAGAAAAGTAAAATGTGCCAGTTAGGTTCTAAACTTTGTCAAGAAAGTGAAAAATGTTAGTCGAGTTTTGGACTTTAATAGAAAAATGAAATGTGTCAGTGAGGTTCTGAACTTTGTCAGGAAAGTGAAAAGTGTCAGTCGGGTTTTGGACTTTAACAGAAAAGTGAAATGTGCTAGTCAAGTACTGGGCTTTGAAAAAATAATAAAATATGTCAGTCAATTTCTGAACTTTGTTAGAAAAGTGAAAAGCGACAATCAGGTTTTTGGCTTTGACAGGAAAGTGAAAGATGTCAGTCAAGTTCTAGGCTTTGAGAAAAACATATAGAGACTTTGACAAGGAAGGTAAAAAGAAAAACAGAAAAATAAAAAAGTCTATCATGTTCTGGATTGCAAAGAAAATAAAAGGGACAATCAAACTCTAGACCCTAACAGTAAAAGTAAGACAGAAAAATAAAGAGATCAATCATCTTCTAAATTTTGCTGAAAGGTAAAGTACCAAGTCAAATCTTGGACTTGGACAGAACATAAAGGTTGTGAGGCAGACAATGAATTTAAATTAAACTTCAAAGGGTGACAATGGATAAAAAATAAATACACGCTAATGTAATGATGTGATTGCACAAATTAGATGAATGTTAACACTTGGGATGAAATTATTGCATGATGAAGTCAAATGTTGTGATGAGATATTAAATTAAAATAAACTCTCTATTTTTTTCCAGGGATTTTAATTTTTCAACCTTATCAGAACATGTACCTCAAGGTTCATGAATGAGTAAGTTTTTCAGTTAGGATCAATTCTTTCATGAAATCTGAGTTGGGTGAGACATCAATCAAATTGGACTGTCATTTATTTTTGAATCGTCACAAGGAGTCAACTTCTTGAACTTATTAAAAAATTAATTAAACTTACGGTATGGATTCTTAGAGCCTATTATTATAATTGTATTTTCTTATTACTTTTTCAATATTTAACATGCTTCCTTTTAATATATAATTACTGAAATGACAATTGAATTATTAGTTAATGTTGTTGAAAAGTTTGAGTAAACAAATTATGAGGTGACACACATACTGAATGAAAGGCAACAAGATACAATTATAAAAAAAAATGAAAACATTATAATGGAGAAGACATGATTAATTTTTACAAAGAAGACTTATGGAATGAGTAATCGATAAAATAACGGCATGAGTAATGAAAGAAAGAAATACATCAAACAAAGGATTAGGATGACTACAAAAATGGTGAAGTACCATGCCGCTTAAGTGACGCCTTTCAGATGATCAGTGTTAGTCTTTCATGTAAATTGACCACCTATTAACAAAACTATCAAAAATAATTGGCCCAATTTGTTGTTTTGGACTCATATCGTGCTCAATTCAACTTCAACAATTCACAATTGCCCCAGTTCAATATTTTACCATGTCATATTGCTTTGGTTTATGCCGATTGTTGGATTTGACTCCATCATTGTGAAATTTGCCCAAATTAATGATTCACTCCATCATATTGTAAAATCATAAATGTCTAATACCTTTCTATTCCTCTTCTTTATGAAACATTTTTTATCTACTTCTCTTCCATTCCTTGAATGCAACTCTGACAATAAAAATTTCATTCATTATCTTTTAGAGACATTTAGAGGTGGATAAAGGCAACGCAGATGAGGTACCTGAAACAGTAATGAGTTTTTCTCTTCCTTTTTGATTTCTGATGCATTCTCTTTTTCTTGTTTCTTCTTTTTTGTTTGCTCTGATTCTTTTTTGGATCTCTCCTTTTAGATATCCTCTTCTATTTTTTTTTGTTTTCTTTCTAAAAACCTTGTTGTCACTTTTTCAAAACTTTTTCTATGGATACACTCTCTTCTGGTCACCACTGCTATCTTCTTCTAATTTTTTTAAAGATTTGTTGATTGTTGACTCTTCTAAAAATTATCTCTCCCACTCCCAATAATGGTTGCCTCCTCCATTTTAAAAGCCTCTCCTCATCTAATCCCTTACCTGTGTATTTATATGAGTTGTTTATGATTTTTTTATAAAGAGACAAAAATTTTGAGTATTTTCATTTTCATGCTTAAAACTCGATTTTTGATGTTGAGGTATAAGTCTGCATAATGTAGGGCTTTCGTTTCTGGAATCAAATTTTTTTTTCAAAAATTTTCTATTTTTTTTTGTAAAACTACTTTATTAAAAATTAATATTCACACACAATAACACAGACACACATCTTTCTTCTTCTTCTTTCTTTCTTTCTTTTTTTTTTTTTTTTTTTTTTTTTTGGCTTTTGACGACATGCAATGCATGAGAGATACTGTTGGGAATTCCCTTTAAAAGGCAACCCTTCATCACTAGAACGATAGAACACCGTGTAAGGCAACTTAACTGGGACTGGATATTTTCCTACTAAAAAGAGTAAATCTATTTTAACACTGTAACTTATAATTTTCCTACTAAAACACACATTGTTAACACTTTTAAGTTATAATTTTCATACTGAAACACACATTTTGTACCATTTTCAAACGTGCATTTATTATATCCAAACTGAGAGCATCCAAATACAGGAATAGAGATACATGGAGAAAACATACACATAGACGTGCATCATCCGAATACGCCATGCAATGCAACATCTGTTATTGGAAAGTAAAATAGAAAAGGAAACCAAACACTCTTTTTAGATAGAGATACTGTTGGGAATTCCTTGGAAAGTAATTCCTGGCTCGCTAGAACGAAAGAGCAATGTGTAAGGCAACTGAATTGGTCCAAAACGATTTCTCAAACTTGGATCATTGTTCCTTCCTGTGATTTTTCCCTCTATTTCTGTCAGTTTAGTTCCAAAGTTTTCAAAGACTTGGATCGCCTTTGAACCAGATTTCCAAATAACTGTGTTAGTACACCCAAGGAATACCTCATCAGAAGCATGCGCTGACAACATCTCTATCATTGTCATCTCAATAATGGTTTTGTCCTTTGGTGTGATTGTTCTCAGATAAGCCGTTTCATAACACTTCACCGTCTCATCATATTCTTCAGTTCCTGGTTCTGGGATAAATCTTCTGCTCATAGTTGGACGGTTCAAGATTAACCCTCCATATGGATATTGTCCAAAATTAACAGCTGCATGGAGAGCTGAACCAGTCCATATAATTATAGAACAGGAACGAATAAGGTCTTCAAGAGTTTGCATCCTAGGCCACCATGGCTTATCTTTCAAGTCTGCATGACCCTTTTCTACAGCTTCTTTCCACCAAGCTTGCAGCTCCGTATCCTGTTGAACTGCTACATCTGAAGGGTAATACAAGGAGACATATTCTTTGACCCATGTCTTAATAGCATCCCATATTTCAAGTCCATCAACAGCATAAGGGTAGTCTTCAATTAAAAGACGAAGGCCATGTGGGGCAGTGGGATCCTCAACTGCCAATCCTCTAAATCAACCAAAGAAATTGTGTTAGCAAAGAAAATTTTGTTTTTGTTGTCCCTTAGTTGAACAAGGTTATGTTTCTATTTCAAAATGCTTACATTTCAAACCTTTATATCTTTAATGTCGATGTTTTTTATAGTATATTTTATATAGTGATGTGTATTTAATAAAGATTACCTCTTGATAAGATCAGCTGGTAATGCTTGGTCAGTGAAAACCCAATCCTTGTAAACAGCCGAAGACATCTCCATAGAGGTCGGTCCAGAAAAAAATGTTGCTTCTATAACGCCACCTGCATTAATCAGTGATGCCCTAGCGCGGGCATTGATACTTATGGTGCCTCGACAGTGAGGAAATAGAAGCTTATAAATAGGGTGAAGTACACTGAGATTCCTATGTGTTGCTATGACAAATGGCTCCATCACTGCATGAGTCTTTAACCTTTGACCCAATGAGTAAAAAAACGATTAATAATAATTTCATTCATTAGTTAGACTAAACATGTTAATAAATGTTGCTAGAAGATCAGTTCTTACCAATGGCTCATGAGCTGATGATAGCCAGAGTCATTTACAATAACATGAGCCTTAGCTAATAGCCAAATTGTTCTTTTATCACCCTCGTTAGCAGGCAACACCACTATACTCTCAGCACCAAATTGAACTCCATTTGGATGTGGCTTACTTAATTCGATAGCAAGTGGTTTCAAAGTCCCATCCTCTTTCAAGAAGAAGATTGTCCTTGTGGCATAAGCCTTTGTAGAAGGTAGTTTGTTGATGTCCGTCAAAAATGGCATGAATGCATCTTGGTAATCTAATATGAATAATCTCAAACTACCAATTGCCTGTTACCCAGAAAATTCAATTTCAATCACTTTATTTAATAGCTTTGAATCACAAACAATATGCCTCTCTAGAATAGTTATAATTCAAGTAAAGAAAATATTGAATTTTATTTAGTATTTTCCTTATTATTCAAAAGAAAAATTGTTGAAGATATCAACGCTGGCTAGACTTTTAGCATATTCTATAGTGAAACATTTATATTATTACCTGATCCACCGTGACCCCACCCATATTAATCTCCAACTGTTCTTTTGTTATTGTGCTAGTTTGATCACCGTAGAGTGTGGGATCTAGAGTGCTTCGTGGGGGGAACTCCTGCCATTATTAACAAAGAATATGAAGAAAGATGATACATATTCTGATACTGACCCATTGTTAGGCTGTAAACCAGTTTAAAAGTAGCATAAAAATTCAGCAATAAGGCATCATATATAATGATAAAATATTTGGACTTACTTGAAGACGGCGAATTACACAAGGATTTAAGCCAGCAACCATCTCCCTCGCAAATTCATCATCAGTCATCCAAGCAGACTTGCTAACTGCTCAAAATGATAAATTAAAAATGTGAAATTGGATTAATTAATTCATCAAAAGCTAACATATTTAAATTATTTGATTAACGTGTATATCAACCTCTGATTACATGGGGTAGTGGAAATTTGGCATTTTCACCATCAGTGCTGAAGATTTCGCTGAGGACTGGTAATGAGCTAATTTGGCTAATTCTATTTGTTGACAGCTTAATTCCATCTTCATAGAGTTGATACACTTCATCGAAGCTACGAAACTCATTGGATGAGTCTAAGTCAAAATTCACAGATTGGATCATAGGTAGGATGTCCTCTGATAAAGATTTTATTCCATAGGTGAGAAAATCTGATGGGTTGAAGTGACCCAAATTTTCATCTCTTGGAACATAAATCTCGCCACGTTGCTCACTGTTAGGATCTGTAATTAATCAAATATATATTAGTAAAATAAGCATAAAAAAACAATCGAAACGCAAATTGGGTGGCCAAAAAGTGTTAAAATTCATAAACCGTAGCCCAAAAGTTAATAATCCATATTTGTAAATCATATCGCGAAACTCCACTCCATTCACAAATTTATATGTGCCTTCCATGCACGTTTTAATCCCTGCTTAGTGCTTAGCAAAACATTACCAACTCAATCACATGTTCTCAATGCAACTGTGGTACAAAACTACATTAAAACTAGATATATCACAGTTAATTATATATAACTAACAAAATAATTTAAAATTTAAAAACTAAAAGACTAACCTGTCTTTGTGGGTTCTCTACCGGTTCTAACCCTGCGAGGGTAAGGATGAGTGCTAGACCCTCCAAGGATTGGGCGAGCATTACCATTATCTGGATCGCCCAAATCGTTATACAGAGCATAATCATAGATCCTTTCATATTCCTTGCGCTTTCCAGTCCCATCTCCTCTTAAATTTTGCAACTCTTCTTCCTTGTACTTAACTAAAGGAGATGGTGTTTCACTTGGAAGATATGTCTGCAATATTTACAAAATATTGTAATCTGAATCATTAGAAAATAGATGTCACTTGTAGCATCATGTATCATTATTCTTATTATTCTTCATTTTTTATATATATAGGTAATTCAAAAATAAATTTCAATTACAAAAGTGACACCTAAATTTCAAAAGTGACTGTGATCATAATTGAAGAAAAAGGGGGGGCTAATAATTTTGGTTAATTAAAATTGTAAAACTACGTGTTAGGGGTGTTAGCTTACGTTATTGTCGAAGAAGATGCGATCCTTGTTGTAATAATTATAGTTGTAAATCCATGATTTACAAACAAATTGAATGGTTTCATGGTTTGGAATGTCGTCAAGAGTGACACTGACGAGGAAGAACTCATCGGTCATATAATTCTTAATGTAAAATGCTCCTGGAATTCCAAAATCAGCATGCCATTCAAAATAAACACTGTATTCCTGTCTTGCTCCCAACTTTGGCGACGTCGGAAGGTGTTTCTCCAAATACGCTTCTTTTCCAACTATCCCATTTCCATTTGCTACAAAAACCATACAAACAATAAAAAAGAAAGAGGATGGAGACTCATTTTATGTAAACTGTAAAGTCAAGATATGTATGTGAAGTCATTTTATGTAAACTGTAAAGTCGAGACAAGCAACTCCTTCCATTATTAACATTTGAAATGAATATTCAATCATACAGTCATGTGTTGATGGAATATATATGAAGAGAGAGAGAGAGAGAGAGAGAGAGAACAAACAATCTGCTTTGGTAGCACTGATCAACTTCATGGAAACGCTGTTTCCTATGAAAGCAGTAGCATTGTCAGCAGCGTCACCAACACCGCCACTACCAATTGAAGTGACGGCGTTGAAGTCAAGAGCACTTTTGGGCAACAACACCACTGTGCCCTTTATTTTCTGGCTCTTATTGCCAAAGACTGGAAGCATCTTTGCCTCTTCTTTTGCCAATTAAATGAAAAGATTTAAGATTGTAGCTTAGCTTGTGAGTTTTGATGAAGCCAATTAAAGCTATTTATAGCCAGTGAGATCTGGGAGATTTAAGGATCCTGTGCTTTTATGAACTTTCCATGCACCAAGATACCAAGAATGCAGAGCCAAAGATGCAAGTCAAAAAATGTGCACGAGACAGTGATGTGCGAGAAAGAACTAGATGTTTACGTGATTACGTTAATGGATTTTTTTATGCTTTTACTACCCTAACAAGGCTTGTTTACTGCAACTTGCTAACTCGTTTTCTTCTGGGCTGAGTTTGGCTGGTTGGATAATTACTCGAATTTATCAAATTCGTCAACATCTCTAAAAGAAAAACATACATACATGAAATACATCTATAAAAGCAGTAGTTAATATTGCATATAAAGTTGATATATTATTGAAAGAAACATTCATAAAACTTTTTTTTTCCAAAAAGATTATTTATATTTAAACTGATTAAAGTGTAATTCATATATATCTTTTAGAAGAGTATAAAATTATAGTTTTAACATCTTTTAAAGAAGAAAAATGTAACGTATTTTAACTAAAATTATTGGAAATTTTAGTCAATGCGTTAAGGACACCTATTTTTCTATGATCCAATGACTTTTGCATTTGAGCCATCTATAATATAGTTTTTTTATGAAAAAAAAAATGCTTATCTTTAAAATAGAAGTTAAGAAACAATACATAATTATTACTGGTTTTAATTATTAAAAATAATAAATCCTTGAAAATATTAAATATTCATACTGTGCATTTAATCGTCTATATTTTCCAATGCTTAAAAAAGCATCTTTTATTCCATTCAAAAAAAAAAAAATAGCATCTCATATAACATGTTATATACTTACAAATATGAAATAATTTTTTATTTTGTTTTCTAACTTCTTTTTGTCTATTTTTATTTTTTAACTTATAAAAATATTTTAAATAAATTTTTTATTAAAAATATTATTTCTATTAAAAGTTTTTGTTATGTGTTAATCATTTTTCTTGAATCTCTGACTTTATCTCTTTTACTTCTTCATCTTTCATTGGATATATATATATATATGTTATTCTTCCTCTTTCTTCTTTATCTTCACAACAACAACTTCATGTTCACTCTTTTCATTTTTAGAAACAAAACTTTTTTCCTTTTTCAATTCACTTATTCACAAGATATCACTCGATGGATCTATTTGAACAGATCATAGGCAGACTCAAATGTGTTGAAATTGCAAATTAAAATCACTCAGAATTTTCGCGTGAATATCCAAACAAATATGATTCCCAGGATGTGCTACAAGGATTGTATGATAATATTTTACAATATCAACACTTACAAATAAAAAGGTAAAAAGATTAAAATATAATTAAAAAAATAATCTTACTTTCTACAATAAGTCACTCAAAACTGGTCCATCATGGTTTCAATTTTAAAAATAAACAATTATATTCAAATAATCAGAATGAATTGGTAAGTTAAGTAATATATAAGTGACAAAAATTTATAATTTTTTAAAGATTTTTGAGTTAGATCTGAGATTTAGAAATATTCAAATTTTACTAAGCTTGCCTTTTTTTTTTTACCTGTATTTTTTAATATTTTTTGAATTTTCTTTCACACTTAACTTTAATATTATATTAAAATTTGAGTGCATCTCAAAATAAGATTCAAAAAGAAAATTGAATTAAACTTAAAAATTCTTAATAATTGCATCCATAACCTTCTTAGTTGTATATTATTTAACTTATTCTTAATCTACCGATATAGAACTTTAATTATTTAACATTACTAAATCATTTTTTAATATAATTGTGTAAAATTTTGTATATTACCATTTAATTTTATATTAGTGTTTTTCGTATGTAATTAAAAATATCAAATTATTTTGATAAATATAAGTGTCTTTTTTTTTACATTATTAGTGTATTAAATTTTTAATACACTAATAATAATTGTCGAAAATTGAGATTTTATAATATATTCATAAATTGAGATTCAATAATAATAATAAGAGGTAGACAACATTTTTAATCAGTGATTTTAATAGATAAGATTTTTGTCGAAAAACGTGGCTCTACAGCACTCACACGTGTTTTTCTATCTAAACGTGTTGTACTTGTACAGAAGATATAGACAACATTTTTCTGACGCGTGACAAATGATTTACCATGAAATAATAATTATTATTAATTTTATATTAATAAATAAAATAATTAAAAATTTAATTAAAAAATATTAATATTTTTTAATTTTTGAAATATTAAAGAAATTATAATAATTAATTTAAAGATAGAATACTCTACTTAAGTCTTAAAAAATTATACCAAACACTTTTATAAATGTGAGACAAGTTGCATGCATGTGAGCACTAATAGAACAAATTCCACGTAATAGTTCAGATCTGTTTGTCCTTACTCCTCAACTTTTTTTTTATCACTGTCTTTGCAACCAAAGAGTTATATGAATGCACGGCAACCCTTCATTATCCTATTCCTATTCAGTATGACAAAATAATAATTTAATATTAATTCAAAATGAATATTCATTAATATCCTAATATTATTAATTATACTCCTGCCGTGATGTTAAATATTTTTTGGTATATATTTTAATAAAAACAATTATCCTTTGTCTTCTTAAATATTGTAAATATACTCCTGCAAGTTAGCTCAAGCTTAAATTAATAAAAAAAAACTATAAATAAAGTAAAATATTTAAACTCTAGTAGTATCATTAAATGATTGTTAACTTTATTCTTCAAAAGGCTGTTTATTTTAATTAATTTTACAATAAGGTGATAATGTGTAATAATATTTTTTATAAAAGATCATTTTCTTAACAATATTTAAAAAAGTGAGATTATTTATCTATTTTAGAATGACGATATCTTATTTATTTTAATCGAGGTGAATAATGAAAAAAAAAAAAGGTTTTCGAGATAAAGTTGTCAAACTCATCACGGATGGTTCACATGCTTTGCGCGGAAAAGTCAAAATCTGTTTTTACAGTGCGAATATGATTATGACCTTGAGAAATGATCAAAACCTCGTGTTCTGCGAGGAAAGTATAATATTTTTTTTCATAAATAATATTTTGTTTTTTAAATATTATGTCTTTTAGTTTTATTAAGGAATAAAATTGAATAATTTTTTTAAAAAATAATTTTTTTTATAAAAATTAAAACTAAAAGATATGAATTTTTTAGAAACTACAATTTTATTTAAGTTTTATTTTTTTATCACTAATAAGCAATATTCAAACAAATAAAGAATAAATAATTCATATATAAGATTAAAATAGGCAAAAAAAATTGAGAGATGAAATAATTTAAAATTATAAAGTATCTATAATCACTAATCATGATTTTCTGAAAATAAAAAAAATAAACTATAAAACATTGTTAATGAGAATTTAGCTCAAAAATTACTATTTATGTTTTTTTGAAAATTTTTCTTTTTAATTTTATATTTTCGTATTTAATTTTTTCTAATATGTATATATATATATATATATATATATATATACACACAAAGTTTTGTTAATCTCAATTTCAAGGATTAAAAATAAATAGTTAATAATAATAAAAAATTATTTTAAAAAATTATTATAATTTTATAATTTTAATATAATAATTATATATATTTTTTATCTGTAAATACTTAAATTCAATTTTAGAAGGTAAGGTTAACAAAACTTGTATAAAAAAGCCGTATATATAGTTGATGAGAAAGAAACAAAAACGTGATTCACAACTCAACAACAGCAGGGGCATGTACATGGAGCAGCAAAAATATATAAAATAGAAAAGAATCTTAATTTTTTTAGTTTAATTTAAACGTATTACAGTTTTAAATTTCTCTAACTTAACAAGTAAATATATTTTAATTTATTAAGTTGACAAAATTACTTTTACCCTACATACACGAAACGTTGTAAGTTAAGCATATGATGCCGCATATGTAATAGAAAAATACTATAGGATATTTTTTTTTAAAAAATTGAGTAAAATTAACTTTACACTATTAACCATAATTAAAGTATATATTCAGATTACCTTATAAGGGAAAAAAATTTTGTTCTTTGCTCAGAAATGTGAAAAATTCAAAAAACAAGAGCAGGAAAAAAAGTAAAAGAAAAATATATTTTCTTTACATAGATAAATAAAATTAATACCTAAAAACACATTTGTTTAATATAAAATTTAAAAATACTTTCGTTTAAAAAGTATAGTTCACAAATCATATATTGAGAGATAAAATGCACTTGTCTTTAATTTCATCATAAACATGTACATAATATAATTATAGTTTTCATTTTTCAGTTTAATTAGACAAGTAAAGGCAAAACTAAACTTTATCCTTTCATATACTTATTTTTTCTCATATCCAAACAACAACTTATTCTTAAAGGTGTATTAATTCTTATTATATTTATCTCAAACTCTCTAGTGCAGACTAAAGTCGCATAAGGTATGGTTGCGACAACAACATAATGTGAGAAGGATTGCCATTAATATATGAATTTAATTGAGTTTAATCGATATTTGTTAATCACATGATTCATAGGATAATAGTTAAGAAATATAAAATAAAAGTTTTGGGTTGATTTTTTATTTAAATATAGGCAATGAATAAATTATTAGGAGTGACCGACCATGTAATGTAGTAGCGACGAGGAATAAAGAGAAATGCGCCCCACCAATCTTATTATGTAAAGGATCCTTGTCACAATTTTATTATCATAAAAAATAAAGTTTAATACCTTTTCAACCTATAAAAGGATATTACTTTTTTATTCATATATAATATATTATTTCTATTATTTGATCATCACAAACCCTTAAATACTGGGGCACACCACTGGTAGGACCTTAAAAAAATAAAAATACAATCTCATGTTTTGAAAACTTTGCAAACTTATTTTGCTAACTTAAACATCAAAATATTTAACTAAAAGGATTGACATAGTAATCTAAAATTTTATTACATTTACATTGGTGAGATTGGTATATTTAGCATAAAGTTATATATTTGAACATTATTACGTGTAAAATTTAGCTCAACTATAATCTCGAATTAAAAACTATGCTTAATTCTATAGTGTTTAAACTTAAAAATACTTAAATCTTTAACTATAAATAAAAAATATATAAAATATGTGTATTGTTATCCAATCATTAGCAATCATTTGAAAGTAACAAATAGTAGGATTGCAGAATAAAAATATAGGAGTAATTCACGATCTAATATTAAAAATGTCAAGTTAGAATTAAAAAACATGATAAGAATGTGTTGATAATGTTTTTTTTTCAATTTTAAATTAATGGGCTAAAAATACTTATTGGCGCATGTTTCAGTTTCAACCAGAAATGTCTTTGCAATAATTTGGACAATTTACATGGGTTCAAAGAGTATATTTCATTGTACTACACCACAGATGATGCAGTTAGAAAAGATTCTGAACTCCAAGCTTGGTGGAAGGAAGCTGTTGAGAAGGGTCATGGTGACTTAAAAGACAAGCCATGGTGGCCTAAAATGGAGAATCTTAGAGTTGATTCAAATATGCACTATTATTATATGGATTGCTTCGGCTCTCCATGTAGCTGTTAATTTTGGACAATACCCTTATGGAGGTTTTATTTTGAACCGTCCAACTCTTACCCGAAGATTGATCCCAGAACCAGGAAGTAAAGAATATGATGAGATGGCTAAAAACGATCAAAAGGCTTATTTGAGAACAATTACAGGAAAGTATGAGGCCCTTGTTGACCTTTCAGTGATAGAGATATTGTCAAGACATGCTTCTGATGAGATCTACCTTGGACAAAGGAACAATCGAACTTGGACATCTGATGGAAAGGCCATTGAAGCCTTTGATAGGTTTGGACAAAAGCTAGCAGAAATCGAGTCCAAGATCTCAGGAAGAAACCGTGATCAAGTCTTAGAAACCGAAATGGACCTCTTAATTTGCCTTACACTGTGCTTCTTCCAACCAGCAAGGAAGGGTTGACCTTCAGAGGCATTCCTAACAGCATCTCTATCTAAGGAGTGTCTGATTTTCTTCACAAACATACCTCTCAGTAACACAAATAATGCAAAGTTTATCTTTGTGCAATTGTCGTATGTGTGCTTAATTGTTGTATTTGCATGTAATCTCGTTTTCGTTTATTATTTAGTTTGTGTTTATTATCTAATTCCTATCATGTTTACTTGCAGCATGTTGGGAGGATCTTTATATTACAAGTTTAATTGGTATCCCCACCTATGAATATCGAATTAAATTTCTCTACCGCACTAACCAGGCTTTGTTTATTACTTTTTTTTATTATATTTTTTACCTCTAAACTTTCTTCATTTGATCAGACAAATTTTTCTATATGATATCGATCACTTACATGTATTTTTTTTCTTGTAAATTTTAAATTTTGGTTAAAATCATTGCGAACTAAAAATATAACTGTAGGGTGTAGTTAATGCAGAGAATCTCAGTTCCTTGATTCAATAACTTACCATACAAGCTAAACTTACATTAAAAAATAATAATTTAAATTTAATCAATAATTTATCATATAATTTCATTTAACCAAAAATTCCTTTTTTTTAAAAAAATATATAGTAATTATACGATTGCATGTTTTTAAATGTCCAATTTATTTTGAATTTGGTACGGATAATTGTTAAAATATTATGACATATCAAAACTTAAATCCTTTAATTTTATATATATTTTTTAAATTTCTTAAATAATAGAAATATTTAGTTTTATTATAAAAATAAATATATCATCTTGTGCATGATGGGTGTTTGTGATTGTAAAGAAGACCTGCACACTAGTTTTATGAATAAAATATTAATATAGTATAATAAAAATAATGTATTTTAAGTTTCATAAAATTAAGAAAAAAATTCTTGAATTTGTTTGAATTTAAAAATATCCAGTACATTGTATGGGAAAATTTGTTATTACTTTAGTAAATGTATAAAAACAAAGTATATATTCAGACTTACGTGGGTTAATGCCAACTGTATAGAGAAAATAACAATCCAGAATATGAGTGACACCTGCGACTTTGTTTGTATTTGCCTTGAAATATGTTTAGTTTGTTTTTTAAATAGGTAGGTTATGGATATTATTAAAAATATATTTATTTAAAAACTTAAGCTTCAAACTATGTGAAAAAAGTCATAATTTTAATAGATTCTTCTATTTAAACAACAACAATAATAACTTAATATTTTAATATTATATATTTATTTTATTTAAAGATGTATATATAAGTTAATCTAGATGTATTTTATTATCTAAAAATAAAAATAAAGTTTTAAACATATTTATAGGTCTAGTTAAACTTTAAAAAATTAAATCAAATAATAAAATATTACATATATTGAATACATGTATAAATTTAATTCAAATATTAAATTTAAAAAATAAACTAAATTTAAACTTCACAAAATTTAATTCAATTCAATCCACTTTTCTGTCTGACCGTGAATAAGGAAAATCTAACGTAGGAAGCTAACAAGAATAATGGAATTTTTTTTTCTGGTGTTGGCCACTTACATATTACAATGTATTTTTTTTTTAAATCATTAAATTTTATCACAAATTATAGTATTAGTAACTGGAATAATACGATGACGAATCACTCCAATTTTTTTTTGTATAACAGGCTTAAAAACATTTGTTTGTTAGAGAGTAGTGATAATAATCTCAAAGAAATGTAATTTAGAAAAAAAATATAATATATTTTTAGATATGTTTAAACATGGTTTCAAACATGCTAATAATAATATAGTATTATCGTTTGTCTTACAAGAATCTTGAACTTTATGTCATCAATGAAAAATTTCTTAGCTTAATATATTGCAGACATTTATCTTCCAAGGTCCATTAGTTGCATACAGAGAAGTAGAATTGCAGACTTTAAGAGGAAATGGAACATGGAAGCGTCAGGAATGGGATAGAGTCTATGATTATAATGTTTACAATGATTTGGGTAATCCAGACAGTGGTGAAAAGTTTGCTCACCCAGTTTTTGGAGGATCTATCACTTATCCCTACCCTCGAAGGGGAAGAAATGGTAGAAAAGCAACTAAGAATGGTTAAATTAATATTTCTAAGTGATGCCTCTATTTTTGTTTCCAATTACTTTTTTATAGAAAAAGTAAAGTTTTTCACACTCCATTGTATATAACTTACCATGTAAGAGTGAAAGAAAGTAGAAATAAAGAAAAGCAATGGATGTGATGAGAAGTATAATAAAAAAGAAGAAGAAGAAAAGGATATATTACATGAGAGCTATTCTGATGAGAACAACAAGCTTAACTAATTTTGCATAATTGTTGTTTTCATGGGGAAATTTTAAAACAACTCTCACTTCATACGCGTGTGGTGTATCAGCTTAAATAAATTTTGCAACAAATACTTATGAAAGGAGAAAATAAAATAATTAAAAAAATAAAAATAAATGAATTTTCTTTCATAAATTTAAAATAACTCATGTATATCAATGAGGGAGGTTCTGAAGAATTGAAGGACACAGGTTCATTTATTTTTTACGGAGTGCTTGTTGAGAAATTCATGTAAATTGAACTATAATCAAGGCAGTTCTAATTTGCATGAATAGAAACATAATCCCTTAAAAATATAGAAAATTTTTATCCACACAAAATATTTTGTGTAATGGTTAAGAAGAATTGCTTTTTTTTACTTTTTCTTGATATAATTTATGCTATTATTTGATTCTCAACAGCTTCCAATGGTAGAAATAAAAAAGGTTTATGTTTTAAGAGATGAAAATTTTGGTCACTTGATAGACTTCCTAACTTTTACAATAAAATCTAAATCTTGAAGTTGTTTAGCTGAATTAGCATTTGATACAAATTTTACACTAAATGAGTTTGATAGCTTTGATGAAGTCTACATACTACGTGAAAGTGGAATTAAACTGCTTACAACGATACCTAGTTACCTTATATTTTAATTAGCAAGTTGTTTATGCTATTGGATGGTAAGTTAGTAACCAATTAAAGAGTATATAAATAAGAGAGTTATGAGTCTAAATTGCTTTAAGCATTTACGGCAAAACAAATTATTTGAACTTAAAACTCTACTCTATCCTAACTCTAAGTGAAACTCACATTCAAAATTCTAATATTATTGGTTCAAGCTTAAAAGTCTATTCTATCTCAACTCTAAATTAAACTCATGTTCAAAATCTTAATATTACTTATATATATATTGTAAACAGATTTGGTTAAAGCTATGCATTTATTAAGTTAATCCAATTTGAGAAATTAATTTTTCAATGGTTGCAGTAGTTAATAAATCTGCATGGATGACTAATGAAGAATTTTTAAGAGAGATGATTGCTGATATAAATTATTGCATGATTTGCCATCTTCAAGTAAGTCCAAATGTTTTTATCCTTAATTCCCATGTTAAACTAATATTCGTATGGCACAATTGAGGAAAAAACATTGTTTGTCATTTTTTGTGACAATATTCTTTAACTAATGGCAGAAATTTATATCTCAAAGCAAGTTAGATATCATAATCTATGGTGATCAAACAAATAAAATAATCAAACAATACTTGGAGACTAACTTAAAAGGACTTATAGTAGAGAAGGTATGATTTTCACTTTAATAAAATGCCATGTGATAATTTCTGCTTTAGTGTTGTACTAAGCCAAGCTTATTGACTATGACTCAATCTATGAAAATTAAGAGTTAGAATTGTACTTGTGTTACAGGCAACTGAACTCTAGAGATTATTCATATTAGATCACCATGATGTATTTATCCCATTTTTGAGAAGGATAAATGAGGCTATGCCACCGGGACAATCCTTCTCTTGAAAGATGATGGAACTTTAAAACCATTGGCCATGGAATTAAGTTTGCCATGTTCTGATTAACATCAATTTGGTAGAGGTAGTAAAATCATCTTGCCTGCAAGCCAAGGTGTTGAAAGTACAATTTGGCTATTGGCTCATGTTATTGTAAATGATTCATGCCATCATCAGCTAGTAAGCCATTGGTATGAAATTTATCATTAAAATAATTGCAAACAAATTTAGCATTATCTATGTATGAAGTGATTCTTAATCTTATTTTTATTGGTCACAGGTTAAATACTCATGCTTTGATTGAGCCATTTGTCATAGCAACAAACAGGAATCTCAGTGCACTTGCACGAAAATTAATGCACTAATCATAAACTTCTATTTCCTCACTATCGTGAAACAATGAATATCAATGCACTTGCACGAAAATCACTAATTAATGCACATGCCATTACAGAGAAAACTTTTTTGGCTGGACAGTATGCAATTGAGATGTCTTCTAGAGTTTATAAAAATTGGGTATTTCCTGACCAAGCGTTACCTGTTGATCATCAAGAGGTAATCTATGTGAACACAAACTATATAATTAGTTTTATAGTTGATTCATCCCTGCTTTAATCTCAGAGTTTTATGAACTTGAAGCATGGACAATGCAAAAGCTTCGTTATCTTGTGTTAAAATTGAAATTTTCATTTAGAAAAACAAGGGCCACATGGATAATGGATTAGAGTCTTGATCTTGAAGTCAAGTCAAAAACTAACTTTCTTGAAAACAGAACACATAAAAATAACAACTATCTTAACTATAGAAACACATACAATTTCTATTTGATTATGGAAAAAACTACAAAATACTTTTGCTATTAATGAGAAGCTTTTTCTTTTGCTTGATTCAGAGGAATGGCTGTTAAGGATTCATCTTGTCCACATGGTCTTCGTCTTGTGACAGAGGGGGTGCCATTAAGACATGGGTCTATGAATATGTTTCCTTGTATTATGCTACAGATGATGCAGTTGAAGAAGACTTAAAAAATAATTAATTGTTACAAAAGTTTTCTTGCATAGATCGAAATTGTAGAGGAGTTGATCTAAAAGAAAATAAATGTGTTTTTAATTTTATATTTTAAAAAATTCAAATTATAATTTAAGTAAACTTTGTATATAATTTTGATCCAAGTAAATCATATTTAGGGATGACAAACATTTTTTTTTAAAATCTAGCAAAAATGTG